TTAGTTTCTATGTTTGCTGTGAGCTGTTGTCTGTTTGGTCTGTTTCTGCTCCTCCATGATGTCACAGACACTACCTGTGGACGGGATGGCGGGGCTCAGTCTAGTGATTTATATATTTAAGTCTATGGTACATGCCTAAAAGAGGGTTCCAGTTGATTTTTTAAATTCCATCTTCAAAGTAGATGTCTTTAAAATTTCCATAATTTGGCCTAAATTGTCCAAAACGTTGTAGTGTGACAGGGCCTTTAGTTCTGACTGTTCTAACACAGTTTCAGCTCCTTTAACAGATCTCTTCCTTCTCTCCACTGTACCTCTGGAATGGACTGAATTGACTCCACAAAGTCGTCTAACGCCACCTCCCAGATGGCCAGCTTCACTGGAAAACAAAACAGAGTGGAGCTGAAACAAAAAAGAAAAAGACTAAATCTCTGCAGTATCTGTAGGATCTTACCAGATAAACACAGAGCGTTTGAAAATGCAAATTTTTCCAGAACGGCCTCTTGTCGATCAGTCTCATCACTCAGAATAAACGTGCCTCTCTCCAGCTTTGTGTTTCCTCTGAGGACAAACAGTTTTAAAAATCAAACAGTATCTAAAACAGTAAATAAAAAGCAGTGACAGCAGAGACGATCTTACTCTCCAACAGTGTAGTTGATCTCCTCGTTTTCCCAGTGTACTAAAGCCACTTCATACGGCTGGATCTCATGATGCTCCAACAATCTCAAAATACTTTTCATCTGTTTGCACAGAAAACTAATTATTTTCATTAAAAAAGAATTTCAGTTTGAAACTTTTAGATTGTGTTTACCATTTTCTCCTCAACATTCCAGAAAACCACTGATCCTTCCCTGAAGTTCAGAGTGAAAACATCAAAATAAGTTTTATTTAGAATCATATCGACCAGTTTGTTTTCAAAAACTGGAGCTAAACTGAATGCTTTGAAAGTTAGAACAGTCATTTTTTTAAATACCAGGACATAATAAAGATCAAAATTCCCTAAAATAAATAGGTGAAATAATTAAAATGTATAACCGGTCATTAAAATCACACTATTAAAGTTTGACAAAGTTGACAAAGACAAAGTTAGTAGACAAAGTTGTTTGTTTGAACCTGAAGAAAACGATGAGAGCGCTGTCGTCTGGTTTAGCTGTCCTGTCGGTGCTGATCACCAGAACATTTGAGGCATCTGAAATAAAAACATGACAGTCAGAAAAAAGTTCTCCAGACTCCGTCCCTCACAGCTTTTTGTCCACAGCTGGACTGAAGCCCTGCAGGAGTCCCACCCATTGATCTGTATTACTGGATTGGACATCACGTGACTTATCGTGTGCAGCACAGGAGCCATTGCTATGCATTGAGTCAGGTCAACAAAACAGTCGAGTTTCAATGTGGGAGGTGCGTCAGGCTGTCACAAAAATATTCATAGCACCCTCATTTCTTATATGATTTCTATAAAATGTGGCTTAAATTAAAGATGAGAAAAGTGCAGATGATCTGATATGTAAAAAAATATGTATTTGCTCAAGAGATACAGCAAGTAAAATAAGTATTGAACATGTCACCATTTTTCTCAATAAATATATTACTAGAGGTGCTAATGACATGAAATTTTCAACAGATGTCGATAACAACCCAAAGAAATCAAACCATAAATGTCCAGAAATTAAGTTATTTGTAATAATGTGGAATGGCACAGGGAAAAAGTATTGAACACATGAAGAAAGGGAGGTGTAAAAAGGCATGGAAAGCCAACACACCAGCTGAATGAACTCTCTCAGTAATTTGAAAGCAAGCCTGCCCCTTGTCAGTACAAGTTAATATCAGCTGGTTCAGTCCCAAATGATGGCCAGGTATCACACAAGAAC